GAGCCAACAGACAACGATTAAACTTAACATACCTCCAGGGTGTGTTTGACAACTGTAGCTCCTGCATGAGTTAGCACCTTCTCCCTAGCCCGGCGTCGATCCACCTTGGGAAGGGTTGAATTGATGAATCCCCTAGTAGCCATCGTGTCTTAGGCGTCAAAAAGGCTGCTTTGTAGAGAAGGAGGGGGGACGAGTTCCTTCCCCTTACTAGGAGCTCTAACCTTAACCTCCTTGAGTTTAGGATCGAGCTCAATAGGAGGAGGCCGAGGTATGAACTCAACCACCTTATCCCCCCTAACCTCCTATTCTCCCATCTTCTTCTTCTTCTTCTAAGGTGGCTCTAAGTCCTCACTTCCTTTTCTTTTGAGTTCCGACCTTGGTTTATGAACATTTGGAGCTTGAGCCGAGGTGCTGGAAACCATCTCCTTCTTAGCTCCTCCCTCACCAGCAACATTTTTAGAAGTGTTTGACTTCTTCTTTGGCTTCTTGGGAATGGTCATCCTTCTAACAATAACCAAAAACTTATCCATCTCAGCTACAATATAGCAAAAATGTTAAAAACATAAATCAAAATTTAATACCAAACAACACAATACAAAACACAGACACACATTCACTCAACAGCCTCTATGACATCTGAGCTGGTGAGGTACATGATATTCAAAGTGTCACCTCCCTTTTTCACCAACTTCCCAACCTTTTCCTCCTCATCACTATTTAAACTATACATATTTTGGTTGGCTTTGTTAGCCTTCTAGGCAGACAAAAACTCCACTCCGGCTTCCCTCCTTGCCCAATTGGTGTCATCAACAAAGAAGAATTTTTCCTTCCATCCCTTAATGGATGAAGGCCCTACACTAAATAAATTCCTCTTTTCTTTGTTGGACGCCCAAGGTGTAAAATAATACCACCCCTTCTCCTTCCTACTCCCAGCCTTAAGTATGAAAAAATGCTTAAACATATTTACAGTGGAGGCACTAACACCTCGAGCTCGACAATAAACTCAAAACCCAATAAGTACTCTTACTGCATTGGGAACTAATTGGGTTAAACCTATACTATAATCTAACAATAACCAAACAAGCAATTCTAGAATGGGAAACCTAAGTCCTGCTGCCAAATAATGGGCATACATGGGCATCCAGTGATCCTAAGGTGCAAAGCATGCCCTCTCTTCCACTCCAACAGGCCTAATTAGAACTTGGGGAGGAATCTCATAAGTCTCTACTAGGTAACTGAAGCTATCCCTAGTCTCGAATTCAGTCTCATAACCCCTCACCTCAGACACTATGTCTGCCTCAATATCATAACACCTATCACTCCTATCTCCCACTTCTAATATATTTGCGGGAACCCCCTCTCCCTCAACCTCAGCCACCTCATTCCTTTCCACCTCTTCCTCTGTCCTTTCTGACCCAGATGACTCACTCACCACACCCACGTCACCATACTCCAAGGCTCTCACCTCCTCACTTCCCCCAACACTCAACGTCTCCTTTGACGACATTTCTTCAGTTTCGTAACTTTCACTGCACGGGGTAGCAAAGGGTATACAGTCAGGATCTTCAAAAAATTATAACCCACGTTCAATGTCACTCTCACTTCTAACCCTAACCTCCTTAAGAGGACTTAAGTTTAAATCAGAAAGGATGAGAGGAGAATAAAACTCGTCACTAGTATCAGAATCACTAAAGTTCATAAATTACCTGATTTCGATAGTGCAGAACAAGTGTTGAAGTCAAAAACGTAAAGTAGGAATTAGTCGCACAGGCACAGTGGAAATTTTGGTAGCACTTCGGTAGCAGATACGACAAAAGTAAAACCCTTTTTACAGAAGTATAACTATATATACCAAAGCAAAATATATGCCTCAACGGTTGTGATTAATTTTATCTAACGGTCACAATTATACCATTTCAAATTCGACGGTTAATCCCTAATGGAAACCTCTTGAATGCAACGGTTCGTTTTCGATTGCCTCTGTTTAACTGTAGCAGTTGCTTTTTACAGCCCATATTTATTGTACACGTATTTTAAAAGACAGCTGTCGTATTACGTACTAACTCTATGTTAGGCTTTTTAGACGGGCCTAATTAAGCCCAACCCAAATACTTTTGTTCACATTCACATAAAATATCTTTTTATTACAAGTATTTAATCTCTGATGACCCCGAGTCACACATTTTACTTCAGCTCCAGCCATAGTGACCCTGAGTCACACATTTTACTTCGGCTCCGGTCACTAGTCTTAATGACCCCGAGTCACACATGTTACTTCGGCTTCGGCCATAATGACCTAGAGTCACACATTTTACTTTGGCTTCGGCCATAGTGACCCCAGGTCACATTTTATTTCGGCTACGGCTACAATGACTATTAGTAGATTACTTTCATTTTGCCCATGACAATAATATTATAGCTCTCATTAATTGGTCTTGTAATATCTCATCACATTTTATTATGTATTTCCAAATATGTATACACTTCCCTTACCACCTCTAACTACATGATTCACAAGTAAATGACTTCGGGGGGGGGGAATAGTGTAAGGATAGGTCCGAGGTTAAGGACTTCAGACGTACTACTACATTTCTTTAATGACCAAAGTGAAGGTTAAATTCATCCCTTCCCGATCAAACAGCTGCACGACAGGAACAGTGGGCATGTCCACACCTGATTTCCCATTCTCGAGATTATCGCCTGAAGGGACACGTTAGACTCCGATTATCTCGTTAAGCAAGCCACGTGGATACCTCATTAAGACCTATAAATACCCCCTAAGGGGCCACCTCAAAAAGGTAATTCAAACCGACCTAAAACTCCTTTTTCCATTATTCTAAAGGTAGATCCGATTATTGCTGACTTAAGCATCGGAGTGTCTACCTCGAGGATCCATCTCGGGGCTTTACAGGTTTATCTGAAGTGAAGACATAGACTGAAGAAAGACTTTTGGTTTGGTGCAATTATAGATACCATTTGAAATTAATCAGCAATTTCATTGATCCACTATGTGATGAAGAAGTATTGAATTCAAAGATGTCACAATGCGTTATTCAAAGGGAGGTTGGTACGTGATGCTAAAAGGTGAAGACTCCATATTCTTTTGGAATCCTTCACTAAGAAAACCATTCTGCTTCCAAACTTGGTGCCTATTAAATGTGAAGGGTTTCTGATTGCATCTTCTTCTAATTCTATAGATTGTGTTGTTGTTTTACTCCCTAATCATGATGGCAGTTATTTCATTGACTTTATCTTCTAAAATGGCAATGGAAAATGGAACAAGAAGGCATAGTTTCTTTGCAGTATTCTACCACTAGGAATTTAGATTAGCTAATCACAATAATACGATATTCTACTTTCCTGGTATGAAGGGAAATTTAGTGGCTTTGAGAATGGATGATGAAGAAGAGGTATTTTTTAAATTACTTTAGAAGCTTGAGTGTCCTTTATGACTCCTTTTGCCAAAACTCTCAATTAGAATGTGATGGGGAGCTTCTTTCTGTGGTTGTGGCCGGGTTCCTTAGGAGAATGAGTTCAGATTTCTAGACCGTATTACATGAGGATGGATTGCTAGTAGCAAATAGTCTAAAAAACATTATTAACTACTTGTGCATCCAGTGGCAGAGGGAAGGGGGGGTGAGGGGGGGCGTTCACCCCCCTAAAATTTGAAAATTTTATAAATTAGTGTATAAAAAATTATCTTGCCCCTATGAACTTTGAAAATTTGTGAAGAAATTAAAAGTTAAGGGTGAAATTCATCAAGAAAGAAAGAAAAAAAAACCAACAAATTTAGCCCAAACCTAAATCTTGAGCCCATTAACCATTTAATCCAAGCTTCAACCCAATTTCATAAACCAGCCCATCAAAACCCAAACCCAACAATAAAAAACCCTAGTCTTCCTTATCCCTTTTAAAAAAGCAGAGCAATTTTCAGAGGAAAAGGGGGGACAGCAGAACAAAAAAAAAAAAAAAAAACTCTCGATTCTTCTCCCATCCGACTTGGAGTCCTCATCACTCATGCCCAGACAACCCAGTAGATTAAAGGAGAATGGTAAATGAGAGAGTAGACAATTTGGAAAGCTAGAAATGTGAAAGGTATTTAATTTAGTACTCAAAACTCAAAATTATTTAATTTTTTAGAGTTTTTTTTATCAATTTATTAGTATGTGGTTGGTGAGTGGTACCTAAAATAATAAGAAGACAGTTTTTTTTGCTTCTCTCTCTTTTGGTCGATTTAATTCAAAGCAAGGGGCACTAGAGCATGTTCTTAATTTTTTGTCTCCTTATTCTTTTTACATTTATAGTTAATTTTGTTGAGTGATTGAAAAAAATTATAATTTCATACTCTTGGAAAGTTGGAATTACAGTTACTCATTATAATTTAATTCTTTTTATGTTAGGGTTTAGTCAATTTAATTCAAAGCAAGGAGCACTGACTGGAGTAGGTTCTTAACTTTTTATCTTTTTATTCTTTTTATATTTATACTTACTTTTGTTGAGTGATTGAAAAAATTATAATTTCATACTCTTGGAAAGTTGGAATTATAGTTACTCATTATAATTTAATTCTTCTTATATTAGGTTTTGAGTTTTTTGTGCAATTGTTAAATTTTTGGTAAATAATGAATGTGATATTTTAAATATTTTATTTGAACCATGAACAAAAAAATTATGTGTTTCAATGTCCTTTTTTTTTTCCTTTTGGGGTTATGTGATACTATCCTTTGTTTTAGCTTGTGAAAAAATTGAAGCGTTATTAGAGTTTTTGACTTTTTGGGATCTTATGAGAGAGAGAGCAAGGGATTATTTTTATCGGGATACTTAGGCATCAAGAAATGCATCAATTTAGGTCTAATAAAGAATCAATTAACAATCTTAAAACTTGAGCCATGTCAATAAAATGAAATAAAGTCCATTATATGGAATAACTAGCATCAATTTCTTATTGATGTTGTTAAGGGACAGTTAAAGCGAAGGTTCAAGTATTTTGTCATCTTTAGTTGCTGAAATAAAGAGGTCAATCTTAAGGAAATTGTTTCAATTTGAATTTTTTTTTTAATAGTGGTTATTGCCAGCATCTAAATAATACAAGAGTTTTTCTAATGACAAACTAAATATGCATCAAGATGACATACTTTGTTATGTCTTATTACAACTTTTGTTTGTTTGTGAGCTACCACGTTTTGGAATTTCTTGTCATAGTTAGTTTAGTAATATGGTTTCTTTTTATTTGTATTTAATAGAAAACATGTAGTTAATTAAAAGTTTAAATTTTTATATGAAAAACTTAATGTTTGAATTTTAAAATAAATGAAAAATTTTTTAAAAGGAGATAATTATTTTTTAATGTATAATCTATAATTTGATATATGAAAAAATAATTTCTTTTTGTTCATTTTAAAAGTTATTAGTAGTAAAACGTTTGAACGTTTATCTTGTGGAGTTTGTCTTCTGCCATTATTCCTTTCTTGAATGTTTGTTTTCGAATCCCTTTTATTAAGGTTTTTATAGGTATCTTTTTTCTATCACCACATGGTTTTATAAAAAAATTTATAAAATAGATAAACACATCATTTTCAACTTCCTTATAAATAATGTTTTTAATAAAATTTATAAACATTTTAAATATTAGCATTTCACATTTTTATTTTAATTTAATAGAGAAAATTTTCTTATAAAAAATAAAAAACTTAGCCAAAAACCCAACCCTAATTTAACTAACTACTTAAATTTGAATCAATAGTATATATTCTAACATTTACTACCAAAAATTATACTTTTTGATTTATCAAAAAAAAAAAAAGTCTAGCATCTCGCTCCCTGAAAAAAAATTCTGGCTCCGCCCCTACGTGCATCACGAGGTGTGTACCTTGTAGTTTATATAATTAACATCAAGTTCAAGCATCCCATTTGACAAAACCACCTAATTAGTGTTCATGTAATCTATATATATATATATATATATA